AATCCTTAATTGGATTAATTAAATTAATTCCAAGCTTAATTAGATTAATTCCAAAGTTTAATTAAACCTCAAAACTTTTCAATCATGGTGCTCTTAACCCAAATTTTAATTCATTCTTCATTTATTTTATTTTACTTGTTTTTTCATCATTATTATTATTTTATCATTAATTTTTTTATCTTTTTCAATAAATAAAATAATAATAATAATTAAAATAAAATGATCAAAAATTAGGTTATGATATTGTGCAACGGCCAATAAATGTACGATGCTATTGACAAAAAAAAAAAAAGAGTTAAAGGTGTTCGAGAAACACACAAAAAAAAAGAGTTAAAGGTGTTCGAGAAAACTTGGAGCTGATATGAATTAATTAAATTTTATATTAGTTAAATAAAAAAAATGGGATGTTTTTTTTAGTTTAATATGGGTGTTCGGGTCAGCTTACGCGTGTTTTGACTAATCCCACGGGTCCTAAAATTAACGATTATATAAACCTCCAATGATCATCATATGAGCAACCACATAACTTAAACCTGAGATCATAGAGAGAGCAAGCTCTTACCACTCGTCCACCACCTAGATGATTAAATGAAAAGCATTTTTAATTGTACAATTATAATATCTTTATACTGAAAGATTAGGTTTTAAATAGTCTTAAAAATTCTTCCGTCATTTATATTATATTAACATGATGAATTTAAATAAAAAAAAGCTCCCATTACAAAATCACATTTCTTCCTCTTCTTAAAGGTGATTTGGAATTATATTCCAAACAATACTTCTAAAAAAATAACTTTTTTACTTATAATTAATTTTTTTATATTTTAAAATTATTTTAATATACTAATATCAAAAATAATTTTAAAAAATAACTACTACTATTCTTATAAACACCACTATTATTTTCTCTTACTGAGCTTGAGGCTGTTCAAACAATAGACAATGTGCATGTATGACAGCGGTTGTTATAGGCCCAAATTCAATCGTTGTCGAAGAAAAGATGGGCAAGATAACAAGATGGAATTTGCTAGCATAGTTTCTAATGCAATATTTGTTTTAAAAATATAGTATCAATGAAGTACAATATTAATATTGTTAATATAAATGGATAGGTGATTTGTTAATTAACAAATTAAACGATTGGATCGTATATACTTTAAAGGAATAAATTAACATATGAAGTTTCCAATCTGCTGGAGCTTGTCTTCCATCATTTTCGTGTGAGCACACGAGGCTATTAAATATTTTTTATTTAAAATGCATCAAATAATATAATATTTTTTTAATTTTATTTATTTATTTATTTATTTTTGATACCATTAAATAATAGAGAATATCTTTAAAAAAGAAGAAGCTAATATGAAGTTTAGACAATAAAAAAAAAAAAATTAAATAATTACTCAACACCACAGGACTAGGAAAGTCGTAAATTAAAATAAATGAAAAATGCTTATAAATTCTTTATAATTTTAAACTCAATTGGATGATTAATTTGATATAATGATCATGAATTAAATAGATTAAGCCTGTCAAACCAAAACAAAAATCCAACGCAACTGTTGGGAACCAACAATATCAACTCTAGAAATCAAGGAATATCTTACATAAAGAAAGGAAGAAAGATGCAAGGACAGAGGATGTTTACTGTATCGAATAAATTCATATTTAATTCAAGAAGCTTTGATTCTTCTATTCTACTGGAAGTTTGAAACGTAATAATTTTTATTGGAATTCTAAAATAAATTAACAAAATCAGTTTATAAAACTTGATATTTTAAAGTATGTACAGTAGACTTCTCTGGTGATTGAATTGGCAGAGGAAGAGATCCTAAAAGGGTGGTGCCTTTTAACAGCGACTTGAACGTGGTCGAGTTTCACAGTCTTTAGCTTCAGCTGTTCTTGATTGCAGTTTCAGCTGATTCTCGGAGAAACAACTCGATGGAGCTGGAGACGATGAAAAGAGCATCTGGATTGACTTTGTTGATGTCTTTGTCGAGATTATCTTAATCTGACCTGCTGGGAATTCGGGTCTGGTTGTTGCTGCTGCTTCTGTGTTGTTATGAGAAGGTAAATTCTGTTGGGAGATGAGAATTGAAAGTGGTGGATTGCAGATTTAAGAGACTAGGTTTTTTCGTTTCTGTCTTCATCGTTCAGTTTTACAGTAAAAGGTCAAACGACGTAGTTTTACTTATATATCTTTATATCTATATACCCGGATCTCAGCTGGGTTTACACGAGTCATCTGGATCCCAGGTGAACCGGGTTTTATTAGGCTAAATCCTAACTAATTTTTTTAAAGCCAATCTGATTTCAAACCTAGATCAGTCAGGTTTCAGGTCCATCTGCCGAACCGGGTTTTAAATCCATGTTTGTAACAACTCATTTCTTGATATATCCAAAAACAAATTAAATCATAAAAGTAGGGCCCATGATGGATCACATCACATCTACTGTTCCTTGATAATCCCATGGAGAAAAACAATCGATTGGTTACAGCTATCGTAGACCATTGTCACACTATATACCTTCACCCTTTTATCCAGCTGACAATAAATTGGACGGATTGGGAAATTGATATATAAAATAATAAGAAATGGTGAATTAAAGTAGCAGCTAAAAGTTTAGTGAAATGACATCACGGTTCTGAACGTCATATTTAATTAAATTTCATTTTTTAAAATTATGATATTAATTAAATATTTTGATGGGTAATTACAATAAAATTTTAATTCACAACAGTAACACCAATTAAATTTAGAATGAATCGGCTGGTTTATTATGATAAGGTAAATCAATAGATTAATTAACATTAAAAATTAGAAAACAATTATTATGTGAAGAATATTTTTTTAGATTTTAATTTGAATATATTTTTTGGTCTTTAAGTTGAATAAAAATATATATTTTAACTTATAATATATATATTTTTTAAAATATTCATAAAATTATGATTTTTTTTGTGAAATGGTCAATCAATTTATGGCCATCTTTGTTCTTTAAAAATAGCTTTTAGAAAATTACTTTTCAGACTTTTCCGTGTTTGTTTGCTATTAGAAAAATTGGTCAACAGAAAACACTTTCCTGTCAATGAAAAATACTTTCTAATCAACGAAAACTACTCTTAAGTCAGAAAAATTTGGCTTGATTTTCAAGAAAGTATTTTTCTTTTTTACTATGTTTGTTTTTTGGAAAGTGGTTTTCAGGAAATCATTTTTCAAACTTTTTTGTGTTTATTTTCCATTAGAAAAGTTGGTCAACAGAAAAAACTTTTCAGTCAAAGAAAAATTTAGCTTGATTTTTAGAAAAGTGTTTTCCTGAAAATTTGGACGGAAAACACTTTCTGGAAGTTGTGAAAAATTTAGAAATGTCATTATTTGCTGATTATATCAAATTTGATCCTCAAACTTTTAATTGCTATATATATTTTGTTTTGAATATTTATTTTTTAAATTTATTTCTTAAAATTTAATTTTTATATTAACTTTGATCCTTATTTTTATAATTGTTATTTGTTTTTCTCGTATTATTTTTTTATTGAAATTTTTATCTATCAAATCTGGTTCTCATTCTTTTAATTGTTACTTATTTTATTTGAAATACTTTATAAAATATTAATTATTATTATTTTAATTTTTTCATATTTTTTTATATTTTATCTTTATTATTTTGATTATTATTTATTTATTTTATTTGAGATAATTTATGAAATTATATATTTTTTAATTTCATTCTCATTCAACTTTTTAATTTGTAAGATTTGTTTCTCATTATTTTAATAAACTTGAGAAAATAAAACATTAATAAATTATATTTCAGTTTATTTTTCATAACATAATTAAATACTGAAAAATATTTTCCAGTTTATTTTCCATAACACTACCAAACATCAAAAAATAATTTACTTTTCAGGAATTTACTTTCTAAAAAGAAATAACTTTCGTGCAAACAAACAGAGCTTATATAATTAGTTTAATTCATAGACTAGTTAAGCTAAAGGATTATTATAAAATTATCAAACTTTAAAAGCGTGAAAATTATATTATTTTATTTTAAAATAATAATAATTAATAAATATTATGAAAAATATTCTATCTCATAAAATATTTTTTAATTGATGTTGACAAAAATAGAGTTAAATGCGTTTTCAGAAAAACTGTAGCTCATGTGAATTAATTAAATTTTAGATCAGTTAAATAAAAAAATAGGATCCTTTTTTAATTATACAATTATAATATCTTTATACTGAAGGATTAATTTTCAAATAATTTTAAAAACACCTCATTTTATTATATTAATTTGATGAATTTAAATTAAAAAAACTCCCATTACAAAATCGCATGTCTTCCTCTTTTAAAAGGTAATTTAAAATTAAGTTTTTTTTAAAAAAATATTTTATTTAAAAATATTTTTATATTTTTAAATAATTTTAATGTGTTAATATTAAAAATAAGTTTTTTTAAAAATAATTTTTTAATAAAAAATATTTCAAAAAACTGAGCTTGAGGCTGTTCAAACAGTAGACAACATGCACATACGGCAGCGGTTGCTTTAAATGGTTAGTGGTCCAAATGTAATCAATGTCGAAGAAAAGATGGGTTAAGATAACAAGATGGATTTTGCTAGCATAGTTGCACGTGCATTCTTTGTTTTAAAAATAGAGTATCTATTAAGTACAATATTAATATTGTGATTCGTTAATTAACAAATTAAACGATTGGACCGTATATGATTAATGGAATAAACATATGAAGTTTCCCATCGTGAGATCTTGTTCGGTTTGTTGCCAACATCGCCCGATGGGGCGCAAGATCCCACGACCAACTATTGGATGAATCCTGTGGGTGGGTGTATTCAACAAATTAAAAGAAAAAAGAAAAGAAAAGAAAATTATGTGATCATCTGACGTGGAGATGGAACTTATCTGAGGTCTATAAATGCACAGACAAGAAAAACACAGCACATTTTATTAGCATCCTTTCCGTTTCCGTTTGCCCTAGGAAATGGCAAGTTTCTCAAAGATCCTCAGCAAGACTGATGTTAATAAGAGACTGACAGTGCCTATCAAGTTTCTCAAATCTCTTCCATCATTCGACGGGGGCCATGCCGTAAAGTTTGAAGCTAGAGATGAGGGAGGTGAAGCCTGGGCCTTTTTGTGCTCCGTCCGCCGGAGAGGGCACCCGAAGCCAGTCCTTACACGGGGTTGGAAGGCATTCATCAACAGCAAGAAACTTAAAACTGGCGACAAGGTCAGTTTTATTAAATGTAAGAATCGAGCTACCGCAAAAACATCTTACAGAGTTCGTGCTGAAAAGGAAATCAAGATCTTTGGAGCTATTATTGGCTATGCTCCATTGTAGCATATTTCCTGTATCGACTCTGTAACATAAGCTAGTAAATAATAGAATGGCAAGAAGCAGGTAGCCGGGTGCCTTGTTCACTGGATCGAGTCCCATTTGTACTTTTCCATTTTATTACTGCTCTGTTTACTTTTGAGCATGAAGTATAAATGGCCATCCATTTTTTCTTGCCTCAACTATTTTCTTCTGTAGTTTTTCATTTTTGGTTTGTCAATGAGGTTGACTCTGTGAGTTACGAATTTAACCTAGCTAACTCAGTGACTTGAATCTCCTGCGCACCAGACAGGGAAGACCAAGGTTATTGGTGCTGCTGCCTTATTATCCTGGATTGGACGAATTAGAGACAGGTTTCTTATCAAGCGACCCTTTTGGAGTTTTAAGTTTGGCGTTTCTTGAGTTCTCATATAATATTAATCTTTGCTGCTTCTACATTTAGCATGCCCAAACCGGTTTTTTTTTTATTTTTAGAAACACTTATTTTTCGTGACAACACATTATATTTTATGGGCATACATCTTAACTCCGATTAATTAATAAATTAGACTTAAAATAATACTTTATTAAAAAAAGAAATATTTAGAATTAAAAATTAATTAAACTCAAAGTCAAATAAAACTAAATATATTACTAGTCCAAAATCACAAATTAATTTAATAATTAAAATATTTAAGTTTATAAATCAACTAGAAACTTCCAAGCTTTGAAATTCTACTTCTCTTTCAAACCATCTAAAAAAGAAGATAATTAACACACTTGTTTTTCAAAAGCCAGCCAATATCTGCTAAGGTCTTTCAAGATGCATGTTCAATTTGTTCATATCTTTCATGGTCTTTTACAAAATGAAAGTCACAGAGAATGCCTTTTCTCTTGTTGTATTTCAAACAAAACTCTTAATCGATTATGATTTTATTTGGTATTTTTCTAACAATACTTAATTTGTTAGATATAAAGTTTCAATATCTTGCTGTAATCTTTTTTTTTTCCTTTTTTTATGTCATATTAACTTATTATTTATTTATTTATTAATCTTAAATCTTATATCTCGGTGGTTACCTGATTTTCATGGAATTTAAAATTAATTTTTATTAAAGTTAATTAATTTAAAAGAGAGATGGATTTCGAATATAACCGCTATTCTAGCAGTTGTATTCAAATATTATATTTCTGGAACTCATTTAAAAAATGTGTTGTTAGAATGAGAAAAGCCCGTCAAAAACGGCACTCGTGCGATTTATTTCTTGGAGGACTTACAATTGGGCGATGGTCAAGGAGATGGCGGGCGCCTCCCCAGACCACATATTTAAATTAAACATTAAGTAAACACATCATAATCATTGAAGATTTAGATTCCATTATAATTTAAATTGTCGATTTTTACAAAAACAATGAATCTCAATAGGGGTGCTTGAAACTTGGATGTCAAGAAATGTTGTTTTTTTAACCAGAGTTTAGCAACTTGGGTATAACAGTGTTTCTTTAGAATTTTAGTGTTTTAGTTTAAAATTATTATCTTTTTATCTTTTTAAATTTTGAGAAAAATATTTTTTAAAAAAAATAAAAATATTATAATAATATATTTTCAAATAAAAAATACTTTCAATCATAACCATCACTACCGTACTTCTAATCATTCTAATCCAAAACCACCATAATTCACCGTAATTCTATGTTGGTATTGATTTCTTTTTTAAAAAAAAAGACTAGCATCAATTTCATCTTGACTATGAGGCCATTGACTAGATAGCATTTAATTAGCTTGAGGTGAATGAAGCCATTGTCGGTACAAAGACTAGATAGCATTTAATTAGCTTGAGGTGTTCGGCTCGGTAGAAAACTGGATTTATTAGTCACGTTGCTATTATTTCATGTTCAAATACAGAGAATGGCTTATGGCCACAAGAAAGATTTATTAGTCACCTGCTTCTAGAGTAGGGTTTTTGCTATCTTTGACTACTTTTCAAGAAAGATTAAGAGCTTGGGTCCTGCTTCTAGAGTAGGGTTTTTGCTGGCTACTTTTCAAGAAAGATTAAGAGCTTGGGAATGTGGCTGCCGGGTTGTTTTTATTTTTTTTTATATTTTTAAATTATTTTAATATACTAATATAAAAAATTAAAAAAAGAAAAAGAAAAAGAAGAAGAAGTGTTAACACAGTAACAAACACACTGTATTACTTAGCCAAGGGAGCCAGATTAATTAATCCAGAGTGAGGAAACTAAGGTAACCCATCTCTTTCATAGAAGTAGTCCCACCACCTCTATTATCTTTTGCCGACAAACATTAATTAACAATCATTTACCCACAACCAGCTTGTCTTCACTGGAAAGAAATATTTTTCAAATGAAATCTTAGAATATTGAAGGTTACCCCATCCGGATGCAGAGGATGCGTGGCAATGTTGCAGATTCGACAAGCCACGACGACCAGCACAAGTCTAGAAGTAGAAAAATTTACACAAAACCACACGTTACACAACATGGGCGGATTTTACACTACTTTTTATTATTAATTTTTTTAATAATTTTTATATGCTAATACTAAAATTCAAAAAAAAGAATATATATATATAACCATTCTAATATATTTTAAAATAAAAAAAATATTTTAAAAATTAATAATTTTAAATATTTTTTTATGTGAGGTGTCCAATCCAATTTACACGCACCACGACTAATCCGTACGAATAATTTCAGATATCTTAATCAATGGAGAAGTGATTTATTACAGCACAAATTATACGGCAGAAAATAGTCAACAGTGGGACCCATATCGACTTGGCTTCGATGCAGATTCTCAAGCCTCAACTCTGCATGCCCATGTCGATGACCGCGCAAGCAGTTTACCTCAGGGAAGCCAAACACTTTAATTTAGTTCTACACAACAAACGGCAACTAGTCGTACACTAGCATTATTTCCGCCGCCGTAATTTCTTTCTGACTTGTTATTGAATCGGGTGCAGTGATACTTGAATTTTGTGTACTTCAATCATAACTTCTAAAGAAAAAAAATTCAAGAAAAAAAAAACAATTAAAACATGCTCGCACAGGTTAATTTGTAAAGTTAGTGATATGTGTTACGCAATCTACTGGGGTCAATTAATTTTTATTTTATTTTATAATATTATAAAAAATAATTTAAAACTAATTAAATATTAAAAAATAAAATTAACATAAAATTTCATAAAACAATTGATGGGCACAGGCTTGGGTGGCCAGGTGCCCGTGGTTATGACAAGTATTTTTTTTTCTTGTTTTAGGGTTGTTTGTATTTGTTTTTAAAATAATGCCTCACTTATTGTAGTCAATGACGTGTTATTTGGCGGGTTATAGCATAAATTTTAAACACTATAGTAATGATCATGAAAACATAGGAATAAGTTTTTTAGTGGTAAGTTTATTACCTAACTTATTTCGTTTAAAAACTCTTTTCATCGAACAAAACCTGTTCACATTAAAAATTATAAATTTATTTATTAAAAAATGGATAAATTAATATTTTTTTCATTAATTTTTAGCAGCTTTTTCTTTTTTTTTTCTCTAATTTAGAGATTAAAATATAAACAGAATAAAGTTTTATATTAAAAAAACTAGTATTTTTGGTTGAATATTTGTTTTTTCTGCATTCACTCTTTAGTTGCAATTTGATACTTTTACTGTAACTTCGAACCTAATTCCATATAAGTGTAAGGACTACGGACACCACCTATCTCCATATTGGTATGATATTGTTCACTTTGGATCTAATCCCTCATGGATTTGCTCTTGGATTATACCCAAAAGGCCTCATACCAATAGAGATATTTGTCCATCCTTATATACCCTTGATCCTTCCCATTTCTAACCAATGTGGGACTTTGGTCACATATCCAACAATAAGTAGACTTGAAAAGAATGTGACTGCAAGATTAAAAAAAAAAAGAAACAAACACATGCTTTATGTTGTTCATAAATCTAATTAGGCTTGATAAGGAAGATTTTGCAAGACCAAAAAACTTAGAAAAAAAAAAACTTTATTTTTCATATGAACAGTAAAGCTTCGTATCTTTTCTCAGTTCTTAAAAATGTACAGGTAATACTCGAAGCAAGAGATCCCTTAACCACAAGTGCCGAGAGACAGAAGACCCTCCAACCGTGTGATCTCTCGCCTTCCCGGTCGATTCCTCATCCAAAGCCAGAGTAGCTTCCAAGATGGCAAAAGCCAATCTGACTCTCGAAGCCGATGCCTCCAAGAAAATCTCCAGCAGGGATCTTCTAGAAAGACCAATCTACCAGCAAAATCAATTAAAGGGTTTCGTACTGTAGAAACAAAAAATAATTTTAACTAATCAAAATTTTTCATGTCATTTTTATATAAAATTAAAAGGTTGACATAAAGAATTATATATATATATATATATTTAATCTATAAAAGATTTATATATAAGATGATATATTTAAAATATTTTATTATAATTACAATATTTTATAAATAAAAATTAACTAATAAAATAGCGTCAAGTAGCATTAGCAAAAAAACATAGATTCTTTTACAAACTTCAATAAATAAAAGGCGCTACCCTAGGCATAGAAAAAAAAAATCTTCTAGAAGACACAAAATGTTTTTCAAACAAGGAAGATAAATGAAATATTCTCTTCAAAAATAAATTAAATGCACCTTTTAAAGCATAAATTTTAACTTGATTTTACAAAAGTCATCACAAATTAAATTCAAGGGAAGAATTTGAGTATAGTTTTATTTATTTTTATGAATATTTTAAATAAAAATTATATCTAATTATATAATTTAATAAAATTAAATATATATGCACACACATGTACTTAATCAAATTTGTATATGCACATATAATAAACACTTTATGTATATGCAACATAAGAAGAATATTTCACAGAAGTAGGACAATCCCATAGACTAATTGATTAATTTTTAAATTTATTTTTTAAAAATTATTAATTTAAATTTTATAAGTCTCAAAAACATAATCAACATCTTTACTCGGAAGAAAT